CCCCCCCAACCTTCCCCCTCGCGCTTTTAGACCTCCTGATTGTACCAGTCTTTGGACCTACTCTGTAGAAGCAGAGGTGGTCATAAAGAGTATTTTCTGGCACTTGAAACTTTGAACATCTTTAAAGAAGTGGTGGGGGAAACTTATAGTAGAACTAAGTGGAGTTCAGCCCTTTAGGAGGTCGGAGAACTCAGTCTGGGCCTTGCAGCCCGAGCTCAGTCTGCGTCGTGGGATTCTGCCACCAGCTAGCCGAGATCAGGGGACTGGGCTCTGCACATGGCAGCGCATACTGAATATTATGACAGCAGTGTTATAGTCTGAAAGAGGGCCTTTAAACTCATTTTTGTTTCTTTTTTTATCCTACTCTGCAAATTCTTTTCTGTTTTCTTTCTCTAACTCAGTCTCTTACTCCACTATAGTATCCCTCATCTCTCTTTATTTCTGCTCTTGCCCTAATTCAGATTTCTTCTTTTATTATTTTTTTCTCTTTTCTTTATGTTCTTTTCTTATGTCATTCTACCTTACTCAAAGGTTACTATATTTCTATTTTGTCTGTTCTTTTTGAATTTAACAATTTCCTGACGATTGTCTGGTCTTTCTACGTCTTTTGGCTTCATACAAAACCTTCTCTAATTCTTATACTTATCTACTCCTCTTGTCTTAACTTTGTTTTAAGCCCCCATTGTAAATGGTAAATATCCTTATTGAAAAGTTTATTTACTGTAAGCATATTTTGGATTACTTCTTGATCTTAATTAAATTTACATGGTTTGAAGGTGATAGATTGATGAATACCATAAGTGGTCAATTTGCAAATTGTGCTTCATTATATTGTCGAGCTGATTGTATCAATTAGGCTAAGGGATTGTGATTGATTCAATGAGCTGTTTTCTTCAGTATGATGAGTCTGTGAGTCATTAGAGACCCATGGGCTGCAGCCCAACTATATCAGGAAGATGTAAGTAATAATCTAAAGGTTAAAAACTAAGGATAACCCAACAACAATAGTAAAAATGAGAAAACGCTTAAGCAAGATAAAGGGACAGACTTCCAGTTCACCAATGGCAAATAGTGGGGCAAATGAGGATGAAAAGTCTGATAGTGAATCATCAGGTCAACCTGAACTCAAAGCACAGGAAGTAAAACTGATCAATCAGGCTCTAGAGTAATATAAAACTGAAGTGATTTCCCAGATAATCCTAGAGATGACAAGCAAAATGAGTTATAATTCATGACTAGAACAGAAACAGAGGAAAATAGATGAGCTCAGGACCATGATAGACGCCATGAATGCCCAGCATAAGAAAGGATTGGAAACAATAAATGCCCAATACAAGAAAGAAATGGATTCCATAGGACAGATTCAAACAGATATCCAGGAGATTAAAAACTCCATTTAGAGTGGTCACAAAAGAATAAAAGAAAGAGTCCAAAGATAGAATCTCAGATATAGAAGATAAAATTGCAGTCAGTGACTGTGAAAAGAGAGGTCTCTTAAAAACAGTAGGAGATCATGAGAAATTGATACAACAACTCAGACGATACTAAGAAGAATAACATAAGATTGATAGGAATTCAAGAAGTAATAGGAGAAAATGTAAATGACTTAAAAAAGCTGTTCACAGAATTAATTATAGAAAACTTCCCAAATAGAGGGGAAGAATTTGACATACAGATAAGTGAGGCATATAGGATTGCAACTAGCCGTGATAAAAAAAAAAATCTACACCTAGACATATAATAATCAAGATCTCAGAAACCCAACAGAAGAACAAAATACTACAAGCAGTAAGAGACAACAAACAAATTACATGCAAAGGAAAGCCTATCAGAATTACAGCAGACTTTTCAATACAAACCCTTAGGTTAAGGAGAGCCTGGAATGAGATATTTCAAGTACTAAAAGAAAACAACTTCTAGCCTAGACTGATATATCCTGCAAAACTTTCTTTCAAAATGGATGGGGAAATAAGAAACTTCCATGACAAAGAACACTTGAGAAACTTCATGAATACCAAACCAGCACTACAAGGAATTCTAAATAATATCCTAGAAAAAGACAATGAAGGTAACAACACAATGAGGCCCAACAGAGCAAATCAAATAGGCAAGCCAAGAAACTAAAAGGAGAAGGTGAAAAAAAATGATAATAATAAGTTAGTACATATTGGTTATAACCATCAATATTAACGGCCTCAATTCACCGATCGAGAATGGATTAAGAAGCAAGATCCAATAATATGTTGTATTCAAGACACGTCTAGTGTAAAAAGAAGCCCATATACTGAAAGTGAAAGGATAGAAAACTTCTGCATGTAACAGGAGCCCCCCGCAAAAGCAGGGCTAGCAATCTTATTCACAAAGTTTCAAACTTAAACTGATTGAAAGAGACAAAGAAGTTCACTACATCCTTTGAAGGGAACAATTCAAGAGGAAGAGATAACAATTAATTTATTGAGTATATCAGAAAGTATACATGCTTTTTTTTTCCTCTTTTCTTTTTTTTCCTTTTTCTTCTTCCTCTGATGGTGGGGATTAAACTCGGCACATTGTTCTGGCTAGGCAGGTGCAACACTATTGAGCTAAATCTCAGGCTTTACATTTCATATTTTTAAAATTTATCAATACATTAATCCTTGTCTCTATATGTTGGTCTACCAAATTGATGAGTTATTTTGGTTCTCATTTTCTTTGCTTTTTTATTCGAGAATTTATGAAATCTGTATCTATGAGTAGTAGGAAAAGTATTAAGGCCCATCTGTCATTTTCCTCTTTCATCTCTGCTTTCTACAGACTTCCTTTTCTGTCACTACAGCTTGTTTGGTTGGAAATTTGTTAAGATAAATCTTGTTATGTTATCAGTATATCTTTGTACTTATTTTCTACTGATGATGAATATTAATTTTTAAGTAAATTTTATTGTAACTATACTTAATCATTAATATCATTTAGTATCTGATACATATTACAAATTCTTCAACTCCTTCAAAGATATTTGTTTTTTCTCAAATTATACAAATCACCAACATTCCACACATCACTTCATTATTTTATTATACCTAAGTATATATTGTATTGTAGAAAATATGCATTGTGTATATGTGTGGGGGATATGTTTTTACATATATGTGTGCACTATTAAATGAGAAACATGGGCATGAATGTGGTAGGATTGTGTACATTTGGCATATTGATAGTTTCTCTGGCAACCTTATGATTTCTTTAAATTACATGCTTGACTTCTTAGTCATTCGTTTGGGAAGAATATTACATATCTATCGGTGTTAAATTCTACCATTATGCTCATAAAAATATAAAAATAAGTATGGGATATAATAAAATAGAAACAGAAAAATCTGATTTTAAAAACGTGAATTTTTTTAGTTGCTTTTGGATTTCAAATATAAGTATATTTTTTTCTGTGGGAAGTTTTGTTAGAAAATGTAAGTGGTACAGTCAACAAGTATATGATATTTATCAATTAAACCAAGGAGTTTATAAATCATAAAATTTTGAGGACAATTTTTCAACTATAATATGTAACTTTGTTTTATTTATAATTACATTATTTCAAAAATATAAGAAAATGAGAAAGAACATAATGTTTGAAGATCATATCATACTAATGTATTTCGATTAGTCTGTTACATAAATTCTTGTTTATTTCATATCCTTTTTTTGCTATCATATATATGTATATTTGAAATTTTTATTTAGTATCTTCATTTCTTGTTATCAAGTATCTTTGCAATCTTTTTTAAAAAAAAAAAGACCCAGACTCACACAGGTGACCATGTGAAGACACAAGGAGGGGTGGCTATCTCTTTTTTTTTTCAAGTTTTGTTTATTGGTAATGTTTGTAGTACACAGTGATCGCATTCCTTGTGGGGAGTTGGCACCCACATATAACACATTTTAATTCTGTTTAAAACAATTCCTCCCTCCCTTCCCCACTCCATCCATCTCTTGGTCCTTTTCCCTTTGCAGAAGATCTATCTGTGTATTTCCTTATATCTATCTCTTATATTCTTTATATTTGGGTTTTCTCATATGAGTGAAGCTGTGTGATATTTAAGCTTGTGTGTCTCATTCATGTCACTTAATGTTATGACCTCAAGGTCATAATGACTCAAGCTGATCCTTCTTAATGGCGGAGTAGTAAGTACTCCTCTGTGTATAAATATCACACTTTCTTTATCCATTCATCTGTTAGAAGGTGGCTGTCTTGATGTCTTTGGATATCTAGCCTCCAGAACTGTGAGGGCCGGTGAGCTGAGGAGACAAAGACAAATTTGGAAAGGGAGGAGGATAAGAGGAAAACCCACAAATAAACGTTGTTTCTGTTATTTTTGGGATATGTAGTGGATTGACTAATGGTCAACTTGTAACACCTAGCTGAACTGAATCAGTGTGGTCTGGATGTGGAGGATCCACCTGAAGGTTTTTACCAATAACCATAAAAAGAGAACTAGGGAGGAAGATCTGGGCCTGTTGATTTTCTAGGAGAAGCTTGCTGTGGATAGTTTTCCTGATGCAAACTAGGCTGTTCTCGTTGGAGGAGGAGCTTGGGACCTTTGGGCCTGTGACAGTGGACTGATTCCTGAAACCTTGAGACAAAATGAACCTTCCTTTTTAAGTTCATTATCTCAGGTATTTTGTCACAGTGATGGAAAGTGTATTAACTCAGAACATAATCAGTAAATATATGACTTGCTTTTTTTTTTTTTGCTTTTTTTTCTCATTGAGTTTATTGGTACATTTTAGAAATATAGTATAGTTACATTCATCATTGGGATCTTGTACCTTTACGTGACAAGTCTTGATTCTCATTTTTTCCCCTTATCCCTGCCCTCCCTTCACCCCCTCCTCCCTTCATATTTACAAATACTTTATTTCCATTTTTTCATTTTCTCATATTTTCCCTTATTACCTTTCCCCTACCCTACCCACTTCACCTACACCTTTAGCCCTTTTCTTCCCTTTTTACATTGTCAGTTATATCATTAAGATCTTATGTACCATTACAGTTTTTCACACCAGAGAAACTATTTGGTATTTATACATGTGTGACTTATTTATTTCACTTAGGAGTATATCCTCAAAATGTATCCATTTTCCTATGAATGACTCTAATTTCTCATTTATAGCGGCACAGTTTGTAATAGCTAAAACTTATTTTTGCTTTTGAAGGGAATTGGTATGTTGGCCAGGCTGGTCCCAAACTCCCAGGCTCAAGTGATTCTCCTGCCGCATCTTCCCAAGTAGCAGAGGCTGTAAGCAGAGCCGTTACCCCTGGATCCTATCTCTTGATATTTTGATATAATGGGATACATGCAGCAGCAGCTGGCTCTGCTCCTTTTTCTTTGTCCTGTACAGAAATGATATATGGCTTGCAACAGCCACCTTGTTACCATCCACTGGCAAACAACACAGAAGCCAGCCCACAGAGGCCGGCAGAGGAGAATGACAGAGCAGCTGGACTGATGCGGACGATTGCTGGCCACTGCACACCTCTGGATCTCTTGGGTGAGCAAAATGGGCCCACGGTGGAAGCCACTAGAGTTGGGTTTTCTAGACTTCATAGCACATGATATGAGACCATGATACCTAGAGCAACGGCATGAAGTGACCATATGAGGAAAACACCTAACACACTGAGAAATATAGAAAGTGCCGAAGATCAAAGGAATCTAGGTTCTTGGTGATCCAGGACCGACCTTGAATCCACTGCCACTGGGCTGGTGTGATGGGAATGAGGACTGTCCTCATGTTTTAAAAGAAAATGTTTAGGATTTTAGTGTTTGTTGGCAAAGTCATTCCTGATGGTTAAACCTTTCTTTCTTGTTGAGAGGATGTGAGAGGAATGCTAAGTTGCTTTGACAAATAATTATATAAATACACACAGAGAGAGAGAGAGAGAGAGAGAGAGAGAGAGAGAGAGAGGGAGGAGATGGAGTCAGAGAAAGAGAGGCCGAGGTCACGGGGAGTGCAGAGTGAAGGAGCACATGGGTGGTGCCCTTTTCTAGGGGCAGGAGGACAGGTGCAGCCCGGGGTCTGAGGGGGCGGAGTGCGGGCGGCATTGTCCAGCATCTCTGCAATGCATGTGTCTGTGCCCTACAGCTTGCTCTGTATTGTCAGTGTCACCTGCCTACTGCTGCTGTCCCAGAACGGCTGTTCCCCAGGCTCACTATCATTCCACGGTGTCCTGTGTCTAGAGTTTCCTGCTTTGGATGACTGTTCCCTGGGGGTGCTGTGCTGAGTGGCACTCTGCAGCAATACCGGTGATGATGTCCACTTGCCTTTTCAGGGTGTTCTGTAGTGAAAAGCCCTTGACCTTAGAAGAGTGGCTCTGCACCAAAGTGCAGCACTGTCTGGTGCAAGCTTTGAGTTCTGGTTTCTCTTGGATCTGTCCCTCTCTTCCCAACTCAGGTCTAGACCCAGGAGGCGGGGCTGTGGGAGAGCAGTGAAGCAGCTGCGGTGCTGAGCTCAGGACTTCTACCAATGGGAGGTGAAGACTTCCCAAGTCTTTCTTAGGCGGAGCTTTTTCCGGGGAGATCTTCAGCAAAGAGGGGTCCTCCACTGAACCACTCTGTCCACTTGCTGGATGAGCTGGTGTTACGGTTTAGTTCTAAACTGTTCCCCAAGCCTCATGTGTTTGGAGGTGATTGGAGGGTGGTAATGCTCAGCTCCCACTACTAAGTTTGTACCTGAATGTGCGATTGGGAGGTGGGGCCTGCCAGGAGGAGGGAGATCACCAAGGTCATGACCTGGAAGAGTATATTCTTGTCTCCGGCTCTTCCCTCACTCTCCTCTTTCTCTGCCTTTGCCTGCCAAGACACAAGCAGCTGTTCTCTGCCAGGCATTTCTACTGTGCATTGGAACCAGCAGACCATGGGCTGAACCCCTGAAATTGTGAGCCAAAATAAACTTCTCATCCATTAAATTGAGGGTGTCAGGTATTTTGCCCCAGCAACAGGAAAATGACTAAGACATCTGGATTCACATGCAGGCTGATTGTTTCTTGAGAATCTCCTCAGGCTAGATGCAGCAACTTCTTGTCAGTTCCCCAAACATGCAGTCGTAGGCCTCCCGACTTAAAGTGCTGAAGATCAAGAGAAAAGGTCACTGAAGGGACTCTCAAGACAGTTTAAGTTTTTCTAGTTTGGACCGCTGCCCTCCGTCTCGTTCCCTGTTTCCCATGTGTAGATTCTGAGCTGTGCCACATCAGCCGTGAGTACATAAAGCAGTGCTCTGTGCTGGCCTCCTGCTTCCCTGTGTCTTATCTGCAGCCCCCCAAATCCCACAACAGACATTTTCCTACTGAGGATTTCAGGTAATGGGAGAAGAAACAAGACATCCACTGTAGAAATAGGTTTGTCTTACACAAAATAGCTCTAACAAATGTGCCGCCCAAGTATCACTTGATGAAATCTAAGAACATTTGTAGTATTTTACATCAGGCTTAATAATTTATTGATGTTTAATATTTCACAAGAGTAAAGCAGAAAACCTGATGAAATTTTCATATCTGCTATTATAAGCTAAATGGAATGTGAGGCGCATCTGGGCAGCACTGATGGCAGAGGCCTGGGTCTGCTCCCCTCCCCCAGCCCCCTGCAGGTCCAAGCAGTGAACTTGTTCCCCCCGAAGCCCCAGGAGCTTAGATGAACAGCAAGATTTGGTTCTGGTGGAATTTGACTAGGCTCAAATGTCTCTCCTATTCCCTAAACTTTGCTCACTGCCTGCTTGATGGTTGGAATGCTCATCATAAGAAAAGATTGCCTTCCTTGCAGGAGCTAAGAGTGATACCGAATAGGCCTCTCAAGAGTCTTAGACATTACTCTTATTTAGGTAATTAAGAAATGCATTGGTGGGAGGAAGAGCCACCACTTTTCAGAAGTGTCATCCTGGGCTTCCCCGATTGAGTCATTACAGTAGAAATGGGCTTCCTGATTTCTTTCTTTCTTATTTTTTTTCCCATTAAGTTTATTGGTATATTTTAGGTATATAATAGTTATATTCATCATTAGGATCTTGTACCTTTACATGATGTGTCTTGGTTCTTATTTTTTCCCCATTCCCCTGCCCTCCTTTTACCCTCTCCACCCTTTCCTAGTTACAAAGACTTTGTTTCCATGTTTTTCCATTTCTCATATTATTTGTTTTCCCTTCTTTCTTTTCCTCTACCTTCCCACTTCCCCTACTCCTTTAAATATTTTCTCCCTGGGTTACAATATCAATGATACATTTTGATCCATTTATAAATTTTGAGTTTTTCATACCAGAGAAACGATTCAGTATTTGCACATGTGTGTCCTATATATTTTACTTCAGTGTGTCCTCAATGTGCCTCCACTTAGCTATAAATGTCTCTAGTTACTCATTCTTTATGGCTGAGTAATACTCCATTTTATAAAAAACCCCACATCCTCTTTATCCACTCTCCAGTTGATGGGCAGTTAGGCTGTTTTCAAGTTTTAGCTATCTCAAACTGGGCTGCTATAAACACGGGTGTGCATATATCACGGTGTCTTTTATTTTACTTACTTATTTATTTTGGTACGGCGGCTTGAACTTGGGATCTTGTGCTTGCGAGGCAGGTGGGTGCACCACTGAGCTAAATCCTGGCCCAATGATTCTTTTAATTCTTTTTGGAGATACCCAGCAGAGGAATACCTGGGTCAAATTGAACTTCTAATCCTAATTGTTTGAGGTATCTGCATACTGATTTCCACAGTGGTTGCACCAGTCTGCACTCGCATAAACAATGAAGAAGGGTTCCTTTCTCCCCACAACCCCGCCCACATTTGTTATTGGTTGATTTCTTGATAGCAGCCATTCTTTCTGGGGTGAGGTGGAGTCTCAGCGTTGTTTTCATCTGCATCTCTTGAATGGCCAGTGATTTTGAACATTTTTCATATGTTTATTTGCTGCTTTTACTTGTTTGTCTGAGAAATGTCTGTTCATTTCAGATGCCCGTTTTTGAATTGGGTCTTTATATTTGGGGTGGGTCTGCTATTTTTGAGTCCTTTATATAGTCTAGTAGTAGACCTTTGTCTGAGGAACAGCTGGTAAAATTTTTTTCTCTTTGCTCTGTTGGTGGTTTCCCTTGCAGTGCAATAGCTTTGTAATAAGATGAGATCCCAGTTGTTGTTTCTTTGTGCTAGTTCCTGTGCTGCTGAGGATTTGTTCCTAAATTTCCTCTCCTATGCTAATGTTTTCAAGAGTTCTCCCTATCTTCTGGCTTCCTGATTTCAATCAGGGTGAGTGGATTTTGGAATGGAAGAGGATGGGGAGCAAAGGTGAAAAGACCCCAAATGGTTACCAAATTATGATCAGTGTATATCTAAAGCGGTAATTAGAAGGGGTTTTGAGCCACATGACCACATTATAGGTACAAGGTAATTTTAAACCCTAGAATCCAAACAGGTAAATAGCTCACTAAGATTCTACTTGGACTGTAAACAAACAAAAAATCACCTGAAAATGTGGTGATCAATTCATGATCCTTGTCTAATATGAAAACTTAAGTCAGCTGCAAACCCAGAGTTCTTTGAATCAAAGGGAAGACAGATTCCCTGAGGAAGTTTTCCGCAGTACTTTCAAATATACCTATGCTGACTCCTTCAAATCTTTTGCAAAGGGACTGTATCTGTTTACCAAAGGGAGCAGGGAAAATTTAGTCCTTTTGGGAATTACTGAAAACTAGTTCTGAGATAAGTCCATTTTCTGTGGGAACAGAATATTATTGTAGTCCAGGGTTCTGTGGGAGTTTAAAGAGGCCAGGGTTTTGGATTTTATCCCGAGTCTGCTTTACAGTATGCCCCATCCTGAGGTTATTTCTCCATTTATGTGGGTATAAATTTGGAACATGTATATTCAGCAGTTGCTAGAATCCCAAGGTCGTCTCTCTGACCCAGGCAGTTAAGAATATTATGGGAGGAAAATCCCATATAACTATCACACACTTCTAATACAGTAAATCAAAGCAGTAGTATGTTGTAGATGAATTTGAAAAATTAGTGCCATCATCAAGATGTTGGTATCTATTAAGTTTTACTGGCACAATGTAAATAGGACCTGAAATAAAAATGAAATTATTAGAAAGTTATTAATATGATTCTAATGGGATCAAACATGATAATCTCCCTGTTTTAAGGCAGTGTGGTTAGCAATCTTAGTTCTCCTTTGCTGTGTAATCCGCCATATTTGTAGGTTCCAGGAAGTAGAACTGGGTGGTGCTGTGTGTCATCCTACCTAACACACATGGAAATGCCAGGAAGCCCCCAACAGCGCACTGTAGTTTACCCCATATACCTTCTTGCTCTTATTGTATAGAGAAGCATCTATTTTCCTTAGAAAGATCAGTCATCCCAGCTGACATAACAGCTTCCATTTGTGGGTGTGGAACAGACAAGGTCAGGTAGCAGCCGTGGTTACAATTCAGGGGAGCAATCATCATGTCCTGTGCTGTTGTTCCTTCTTCGCATACAAAGTCTTCAGTATTGTCACATCCTAGACTCACA